GGATCAGGCAACTGTGGAAAACCTCAATGAACTGCGGCAAGACTTGTCGAAATTCCGAAATGAGATGAGAGACTTGCTTGGTTTTCGAACTTCTAAATATGCTATGTTTTATCCAAGAAACTAAGGCTTACCTTTTAAACAAAAAACGTGTACTTCTAGATACCTGTAGGTGAAAGCGTTGACCTAATTCTGTTGCCAGACCAAATAGAAAAGAAGATTATTGCACAGTAATACATTTGCAAATGCATTTGCATGAGTTGCAGCTAGATGCAGAAGTGGTGAAAATAAATGCAAAAACAGATATCTTAGTTTTCTTAAGCTCTTGATCTTAGAGTGTATATAGAATTTGTACATAGGAGTTTTCTAATGTTCCTCAGACTGCGGCTGTCAGGTGTCAGAGCTTCATAACTAGCACAATGTTTATTTCTTCTATTTTTGCTGTTTGTTCCTTTTTGATACTTGTTTTTCAAGGTGTGGGAGAAGATAGGCTTTTTAAAACAAAAATCCAGCCTATGTTTATTTTTAATAGAAAAGTCAGATGTAGAATAATAGAAAATTTCCAGCACAGTTGGAAATTGTATTTGACTGTAGGTTACAGTGCATGTGAAGACTGCTCTGAACGAGGCAGTTCTAGTGCCAAGTTTTGTATGTTAGCATTGACTGTGTACTAACAGTTGTAGAATACAGAAAGTCGAATCATCAAGACTCTTCCCTTTCGTGGGAGCACTGACATTTTGAACTCAACGTAGACCAACCATTTCTCGAATGTTTATGGTTATAGGTAAGACAATCAATTCCTGCTTGAATTTTTCAGCAGTGCCTCAAAAGTAGTTTATACTGTACATGTGAAGATTAGGAACAGAATTTTAACACTAACCTGTGAACCTTTAGCGTTTGGTATCTTGGGTTTTTAAAATCTGGAGGATAAATCGAATTTAAAACCTGTGACTTACCAAAAATGAGGTGGAGGACGTGAGTGCCACTGCTTGCAGTGCTGAACAGTTCCTGTGAGACAGGGTACACTTCTTCCCGTGCAAACACACGCTGTATCTGGTCAGTGGACAGCTGGAGACAGGTTTTACAGACTCTACTTGCAAACTTCGCTCTCTTTCGTCCCTTTTTTTCTTTATAACACACTTGTTCCAACCTAAACATTCATTTTTTGTCAGGAATACTATGTTTTGTGAAAACATGTGATTTGACTTGGCTTAAAATGGACAGTAAGGGCTTTGTGGATTTTCTGTGCTAGAGGGTCCTATATGGCTTTATATGCTTATATATAATTCAGGCTGACAAACTGTAATCGAGAAATGTGAGATTCCTGTATTTTTCATTACTAAATAAGTATATTTATGATGCTAAAGGATTGATTGATAATTTTACTGTTATGATGGTGCTCTTCTAAAATGGTTTTATGTCAAGAAGGCGCAGGTAGCCATAGTGGTCTTTGACTACAGTTGATTTCAGGAGGTTGGTAGAGTCGAGGCTTACATGAATGTTTACTTTTTTGAAGGAATTCTTACAAAACTCTTTCTTGTAAAGTGAATATATTTTCTGTACTACGAAATTATGTCTATCTGAACTATGTTTTAATACTCTGCTTCCAGAAGTGTTGCAGTGCAGAGGTATTCTGATAAGTCTGTTGGCTTTTCGTGTTAATAAGAAGCTAACCTCTTGTGTTCAAAGCAAAGAGGATGACTACATTTTGTATTTGGACTCAGATCTCATGTTTAAATAACACACCAACAGAAAAACTATGTGCTGTGTATGTTATGTATATCCAATAAAGGAAGCAGACAAATAAAAGCTCTTTGAAAAACATGGTCGTATTAATATTAGTCATATTTGAAACACATTATATCAGGTGCCGTATTGAAGGTCATTTCTTTGTCACGTTAAGATAATAAGTTTAAGGAAGGTAGGCGGTCTTAGGGTTACCTTTTTCCTTGTGGAACCATCCTGTTAACTTTTAAGTTCATTTAAATGACTTCATGTGCTGCCATCAAGTGATACCTGAGCTAGTTCCAAGTGAGCTAGGTGACATTCAGTGTGCAGTGCTAGCTGCTCGGGTGTGCTTATCTGCATGAAGCAGCATGCTGATGGAGCTGCTGTAGTGGGTTTCAGTGTGTCGGGCAGAATCACTGAGCTAGCTCAGTCATTGTCATCTGGCACTGTGTTCTACTACAGTGTAGCTGTGTCCTTGGGAAGAACTGTCTTATTTAAGGCACTTCTGGGGCTTTGGGTTGGAGCTGGAGGTTCCAGAGTTTTTATTTGTTCCTGAAATACACACTTGTAAGTGGTAAGACATCAGAGAGAGAGAAGTTTGTAGTACCTTAGTTGTATGACACTTGGCATCTCTACCTTATTTGGAAGCTGTTGCAGTCTTCCTATGTACATGGCTACTGATTGGAGTAGCTCAGGGTGCTTGGTACTGTTTAGTCCCTCTTGTCTTTTTATTTAGATGTTCCTAGTCCACATGTATTAATCCTGCTATTGCTTTCTCATTTGGCATTTTAATACAGACTAGTCCAGAAGCAGTCAGCAGATGTTGGGGCTCTAAGATCTCCGTCCTGCACACTCAGAACAGTCCTGGATGTGCATGGACACAACATTTTAGGTGTCTGTGATACTTCAAACTGGGATGTCGAAAGAAAAATTTGGAGAAGCTGGAGTTTACTTGACTATAGGATTCAGAATTTCTGTGTACAAATTTTAGTCATGAAAGGACTAAGCAGCGTTTAGAGCCTACTGAGAAATGTTCATTCCTTTTGTGTTAATGTCTGTTTTGTCTTAGAGCTAATTTGGCCGGGATGAATGAAAAATGGAGATGCAGTTTTTCATGCCACCTCCATTTGCAGCAGAAAGGTCAAAGCCATTAATGACTGAAAGTCGGCTTGCTTTATGGTCCTGCTAAACTACTGTTGAGATTATTTCTGTTGAAATGATTTCAGCACTTGTATTGCTGTTAGATAATTTTGTTTCTGTTTAGTTGCAGGTTGGGTTTTAAATGTATGAACCTTACAGTCACTACGTCTGCTTTTAAAAACTTCTAATAGTTGTTACCTGTGTTTTGTAACGGATTCTTAGTTGAGAAAACTGGCAGTGCTCCGTGTTTCTTCAGTCCTGGCTCCTGTCCCCTGTTGCAGGGCTACTGCTGTCAGTGCTTTGATTTGGGAAAGAAACTGTTCTAGAGGGAGTGTTGAGAAGAGCGGGCAGGATTTTTCTCTACCTACCATTTGGGAGATGAGAAGCAGGCTGCCAGACCTTCATTACCTCACTGAAAAAAGTTGCATGCCAGATGGTCCTGTCATCATAAATAAAAACAGATGATCATTGTAGTTCAAGACAGGTCCAAGCATGATTTCCACGTTGCTTCTCCCCAGGCTGCTGCTGAGAAATGTGGGGAGCACTGCATAAAACCCATCAATAATGAGAAATCAAAATTACAAGTTTAAATTTTTTAAATTACAGAATTACATCTGTTTTGCAAACAAATACTGCTGCGGTTTCCATAGAGAAATGCTGTTTGGTTTAGTCAGCAAGGCGAAGGCACAGCGATCTGTACAGTGCAGTTACAGCACCAAACTCTTTGATGTCAGCTGCCAGCACAGCCTTTCTGTACCTTTGTGCCTCTCTCTGATTCTTTTGTCTCCTGCCTGGCTGCCCGTCAGTCTTGGGAACAGACGCTGCTGAGCTGTGGCACTACCTCTTGGCATTACGTATGAGAATCAGTAACTGAAGAACGGTAATCACGTTCCACTACTGGAATAAACGACGAGTACCTCGCATGGGGACTGTGTATTTCCTTACAGGTTACTGCCAGCATAGTATTTATATACAAGGAAAGCAAGGACTTAAAGGGATCTTTAGATTCTGTTCCATCCTGTCATTTTGATTAGTATGCAGGTTTTACCCAGTATTTCACATCTGCTTTGGACCAAAATGTTCTTCAGCTTCTCAGTATTAATCTTTACCTATATCCATCCTTTCGGTTTCAGAGTAACAAATAGCTGTATACAACAGACAGACCTGACGAAGGTCTCTTAACGTAACATTGTCAAACTGCTTCCAGACTGTTCCTTTCCTTATTCTCAAAATAGCTACTTGTTCAGCCTTCGCATGTAGAATGAAATAAATTAGACAGATATGCTACACTTTACACTACTGGTGCCAGACTGAGCATTGCTGTATTGTCTGTCCCTTCACAGTAGAGACAAAAATCTAAAGCATTTCCATGTGTACTTTATAGCTACTAAATTAATTCCTACCTTCCTCCTTCCTAATTACCCTACGGAACTTGATAGTGACATTTCCTAACTAGATTACAGTCATCGCTAGAGAACAGCGTGGTGCTGTTCCACAGTTGTCTAATTCCTTGAAGAGTAAATCCAGTTCCTATTCAAATCAATGATTTGCTGACTGCAGTGGGAAAGAAATCAGGCCCTTAATCAGCAAGGATGTGTAGTGTCAGTCATGCTATGCAAGACCCAAACCATCAAAAGCATATAAATGATCAAAAAAAGTTTCTATGTTTAGCCTGCGCCACTTTATACATAATGAATAACTAGTTGGTGTATGATTTAATCTTAAAATATTTTATTAAGCACAGATAATAATGCAGAAATCCAGGTAATAAAACAACTTTAGAGAAGCAGCTAAGTTAAAATGACTTACTATAAATATTGCACTTAGAATTCTTATTTTACATACGAAACCCCTTAAAAAATTGGACAATTATAAATTAACTTCCAAGTACTTGGAATTTGGTATGTTTGAGATCAGATGGCTGTGCTGCAAATCTTCGGTTTTAAGACTTAAAAGGATCTGTTCTCGTCTTGATAGGTACGTGTAATGGGTACCACTTTGTGCCAGGGTGTGCTTAGATGGCAGAAGGGATGAGCATGGTCTTAGTGTTGACAGTCGGTTGTATTCTTATGACTTACAGTAAGTGAAAATTAGTTGTCAAGAGAGTTGATATAATGCAGCTGCAGAGTTTAGTCTTAACATGTTTTGTTTTTCAAAGCATTTAGGATCTTTGAGTTCTTAGTCTTAAAACTCATCACAAAGTTGCTGGGAAAGACTTTGCCTCTGCCGTCTTCTTCTACCTGGCCCATGATGATGTAGTTTAAACCTACAAAGGAGAGCATGATATTACAAGACAGAACTCTGAGATGGGATTTGGTAAGTATAGTTCTTCATCTGTGGTCTCTGTTACCAATGCCCTCTACCATTTTTTCTTCCTACCAAAAAAGCATGTACTTCCTTACCCATCTTTGCCATGCTCGTTATGCAATAAAGTACAGCTATGTAAAAATCAAGTACATATATAGCTAAGTATCTACTATATAATTTAGTAGATAGGAGATAGTCATTAAATGTAGACTGTCAAATGAGTCTGAAAGATATTAGAAATGTAGTGGAAACGCTGGGTAACTCAGCTACTAACACCTGAAGAGGAATGTGTCTTGTTCGTTTTGAATATTTCCTCATTTGTTCAGCTTTTAGGATAATGCACTTAAGTCTTTTCTTTCCCTTTCCTTCCCCAAAGACATAAACATTTACCAGGTATGGAGAGGCAGGCAGGAAAGCAAGGTGGGCTTCACGTGTGATAAGCCCTGGCTTTGGGGAAATCGGCTGGATTTGTGTATTTTTATGGCTTAGAATGGTTAGGGGTTTGTGAAGCCTTGGGTTGGAAGAAGTGGTGTTATAGGGGTATAAGCAGAAAAGTTTAGTTACTAAGTAATGGCTAGTAAATAATTAATAGGGATTTAGGAAGAGAAACAGCAGAGTGTGGTTTGGAGCCGGCGGTGTGCCTAAAAGGAGACCATTTGTTCCACCGTGGTGATGATAGGTGTCCAGACAGACGTCTGGTTTCAGAGAACTGAAGGTAAAAGCAAAGGACAAGGAGTTTTCACTTTGGTACTGCCCGCTTTGAATTAATATACGTAAATACCAGCAGTATCCTGAATGTTATCGGGTGGGACTTGATGCTTACTAAATTATTTTTAATATTTCTAGCTATGGTTCCATTTCTGTTTTCCTGTTCTACCTGTTTACTCAGGGGGCAGGGCTGAAAACTTTTTTTACTTAGTTACTTCAGTGAAACTCCGTCTGAGTAATTTTACCACCACCATGTAGGGTAGCCCTTGTTATATTTACTGGCAATTATCATGGTTGATCTTCTCTGTATAATACTGTTTAAGACAGCTATAGAAATACTAGCTGTTTGCATATACAAAGTGAGCTTAACTCTACCAGTATTTCTGCAGCAAGGATGTAAATATGTACATCTTTGTACATGTGTATATGTATTGTGTTGATTTTTGTCATTTGCTGTGACACACTGCCCTTCTAGGTTTAGCATGCTGTTGTCTTTCCCTTCTTAATAGCTGTGTGTGGAAACCAGCTCAAAAATGCATACATGTGAAAACAAAGTTGTGACTGAGCTTCATTTGAGAGAACCAAATCAGATTTTACTTGGTCTCATGTATGTTTAGAACAAAAACCTTTTCAGACTCCTTTGATTTCAGTGAGTCTAGTCCTTTATAAGTAAAACTTAAAAATGCAATAGAAACCTGAATAACTAGTTAGTGTTATCTTAAATTGATTATAATATTAGTTGCTGATTATAGAAGCAATTGCTGTAATTTTGCTCATTTTTGCGGTCGTATTTCAAACAGCAGTCTGAAAAGACTGGTGTCTCTTATGAACACACAAAGCAGTTATTTTTGTGTACTTACCTCTTCTGATGAGAGGACACTGCTTACATACAACAAGAATCTTGGCACTCATACTCTTGCCGGCCTGCTGAATTGCTAAATTCCCCTCCTTATAGACATTAATGATGGATATTGTTGCGTGCAGACTGCCAGCCCGTGTTACCGCTGTGATTACAGTTCCAGTTATTACTAAAAGAAATGACATTTGATACGTTTTTATTATTTTTAGACATGAATTCTGAGGCATCATAAAAACTGAGTATATTAGTCCATAATAAGGAAATATTCCAATACTGGAAACAGTCACTAAAAGTGTGGGTATCACCTGTAATGTGTAACTTACTACTGAAAGATGTCGGTGCCACCAAACCTGAAACTATTCCTAAGATGTATCAGTGTCTTGCAAGCACAGTTCCAGGTGTTGATAATTCCAGTTAAACAGTCCAGTTTGATACCACTTTTCATGACTGATTTTAAACCAGGGGAGAAGTTAATGGAAAACGCAGCCAGAAGCTGAATTCCCGGTGCTGTGACACCCTCAAATGAGTAGTGGGGAATAGTTAATGCCCTAGGAGCTGGATTTTGACCTGTCTGAGGCCTAATACTGTGACAAATCTGCTCATTTCGGCTGAATTTAGACTACAGATTAGACTATCGTATCTCCAAAAGACCTCTCAGTATGAAAATAAAGAGAGCTTTTTTTTCCCTGGAATGACCAGATTAATTTGTAGGTCATCTTTATCTATCAAAAGAAAATTATAAATGGTATCAGCAATTTCTTTTCTTCTCAGCTACACCTTCTGTAAATAAGCTGTTCTACCCTAGCACCAATTAGATCTTCAGTTACCAAGTATGTGCAGCCGGATTTATTTTACAAATCTACATAATCCTTATTTTGGGTTAGGCGTTCGTAAATTTGCACTGTATCTTCCTTTAATCCAGAGCTTTTAATTAAATGGGAATCAAAAGAGAATATGGAGGTTAAGATACTGGGCACTGCAGTTATATTTCTAGAAACAATAAACATTAAATGCCTTATGAAAGGGAAAGAAGAGCTATTTTCTAAATTCACAAAGTCAGCAAATAAGCTTGGAATAAATCATCTTCTACAAGTAGGACACTTTCTGTTCTTACCTTAGGCTACACTGGCATTCACAGTAGCGTATGAAATATTTTTATTTTTACTCCTGCCATGGAAAAGACTGAAAACTGTCAAGTATTTGACAAAAGGTGAGAGTGAACGTGATTTATTACCCTGATGCTAGAGGGAAAAGAACGACTTTTATAGAGTGTCATTCACCGTCAACCACAAAAGCTGGGCCGTGGTCAGTAAGAGGAGACCATTTTTCTCCCTACCTGCTGCTTTTGGTCTTGGGCCAGCCTGAACTGCCTGCGAATTAAACCAGGCCGGTGGTCAGCAGGGGTAAGGGGTCCTGCTGCAGTGACTCCGTTCTGCTTTGGGGTACAGCCACAGCCCTCATTAACAAAGTGATGCAAAGCTGCTCCTGCTTTCCTGACACATCAGATTTCCTCTGATCTCATGGGATTGGCTATAAAGTTTGAGAGTTAAATTAAAACAAGCAAGTAAACAAAAAGTGGTGGTGAGAGGGGAAAGTTGTCCCATCGAATTTTAGGCATGTTATAGGGGATTAAAAAAGCTTCCAGTATTAATATGGGAAATTACTCTGAGACGTAACTGAATCAATCAGCAGTGACAGTGCCATCCAAATACACAGCAGACACCATTTTTCCTGAGTGATTTGTGTCCCACGCCTTCTAATTTCTTTCAAAAATATTCTGGAAGTCTATAAACTGGATTGTGGACTAATCAGCAGGTACAGCGTAAAGTGTGTACTGGCTGGTGATCAAATCAACACTTTCCTGTAGGAGGCTGTCTCACATTTCAGAGAATCCACAACAGATGTCACTTGCTCTTCAGGTTGAGAGAGTCCGTTTGTTTCAGGCATGTGCGCAGTGCCTGTTTCAGAATAGCTCCAAAACTGTATTGAGAGAAACACTGATACTAACGGCAGACACACGCACAAGATGGTGTATGTAGCCTGTCTGTTAATGATAACTCAGAACCACATCTGGTAAAATTCCTATCGGTGTGAAAACACAGTGCCCAGTGAAACATTAAAGAGAAACAAGCTTTGCTTCCTTACCGAAGTTGCTTGAACAGTAATTGCTTTCCAGAGTCCCGCTCCTCTTGCACTTCTGCTGGCACAGGGCAACTGTCGGTTTCGGGACTTTTTGAAGAGCAAAAAGTAAATGGAATTGCAATTAGGTATTTGACGCAAAGGGAAAGCAGTATGTTTTAAAATAAGGAGGAAGATGAATAATCCAGATGTATGCATTAACTAGATCTGGTATTGCAAGGGATGAGCACCACAGTAACAATATTCCTTTCCTCTGCCATCACCTCCAGTCATCGTCTTTTCGTGTGTGTCTCAGCTATGTATCTGTTCTAATGGGATGTTACAGAAACTGTGTTCCTAAATACGTAGCTTATTTAGTGTTGTTGCCGGTTGCCATACAGCCCCAGTAATACACTTGAAGTACCACAACATCACACTACAGTAACACTTCAGAGGGAGGGGGTTGCCTCTCATCTGAAATTTCTTCACTGTGGTGGAAAAGATCAGAGTTCAAATTCCTGACTTCTTCTTTCTAAATTTTTCGCATAGCTTCATGACACGCAGTACTGCATGGTTTCTACTGATGACATTTTGAAACACAACATAATGTTTGAAGTATCTGTTTAATATTAGGGGTTGACCTTTCCATTCTGAAATGGAATGATTTGTGTATATACAAGTGGATACACCTTGTATTTTTTTCCTCTGGCTGGATGTTGATAGTGTCTGTGCTTTACTCAGCTAATCCTCTCTACATGACGTGCTGGGATGCAGTCTTTTTGAGGCTTTTACGTCCTTTCTTTCATCCAAATTTGACTGGAATTGGCCAATGACACCATAACTATTGGAAACATGGAGCTGAGACGGACAGCGTAAAAAACCCCAACACCTACAGAACTCTAATTTCCAATTTTAAAAAAATTAGATATGAAGAATATCTTTGTGGTTTTTCACTCTCTGCAGGAGTTTTGTTTGGCCTCTACTTTCTGAAAAAGAACTTTTTAATAATTTTCCAATAAATAATTTATATTTGTGCTTTTAATTGAACAAATTTATTCTGTTCACAGTTTTCTGAGTTTCTGAGGTTTAAGTGAATGGCATTAAAATTACTTTGATTTCAGTGTAATGCCCATGACTGCTGGATCTGCATACTCATTATTTGGCCTTTCAAATCCAAAGTTTAAAAATGGGACCCCGTATTTTTCATTGATTTGGGATTGTTTGTTCTTTTTTTCTTTCAGTCTTCACATGATCAGTATACAATGTGACTCCATAGACAGTTAAATGTGTCCCATAAGGACGAGTGTTCTGAAGAGCAAGTTACCGTGCCTATGGAGGCGTATCTAGCGATATTCGACATGAGGCAGCCTCTGCCTTACAGTCAGACCCACATGGTTGTGGGACTGAAACTCCCTCTGCCATCACTTCTGCTGCCTTGGTGTGTCTGCATGGTTCTTCCTTTCCAGTGTGTATTTCTGAAACAGTTTTAATCATATGCCAAGTTGCTTTTTATGAAGTGACTTCTCTGTAGAATGCAATGTAGAAATAATTCAGTATTTCAGCTCCTAGAACTTCAAATGAAATGATAATTCTTCAAATTACAGTGAGCGCTGGCAGGATGCTATGGCAGGATGCTGTGGCAGGATGCTATGGCAGGATGCTATGGCAGGATGCTGTGCCATTGCCTTGGTTTTCCTGTCTCTCGGCGTTGGTTGCTAGGCCAGGCAAGCGCCTCCCATCTCAGTGCCAGGTGCAGCACAACAAACACTGAGAACGTCCCGTTCCTGGAGTCTTTCGGTTCCACGTCAAGATGTGCAAGACAGTAAGCTAAGTGTATTTGAACTGGACACTTCTGAATGCAAATGATTGATCAGAAATTTTAACCAAACTGCAGAGGTTTGGTGTGCTTTGGTTTGTTTTTAAGATCAGGAGTGCCTGCACCTTGCATAACTGATCAGACAGTGAAAGGAGGCCTTATTTCTGTCTGCCTGACGAGTGCTGTTGAACACCTTCCCTCTGTTGTCTCTTAAATGACTTTGTATGGTTTTTGTTTTCTGGCGCTGATGTCGTCATTAAAAATGCTTTGGAATTAATTAGTAAAGTACACCTCTTTTGCATGTGCACACACAAACAGCTCACAGAGCAAAATTCAATGGCAAAACCCTGAACACAAACGCAGCATAAGGTATCTGACAGCCTGGATTAGCTGAGACCCAGACTTTGAACTAACGATTTCATTAAGAAGTGCTTTATAGCGAAGAAGAGATGAATTATCCGAGGGGCAGTCACATCAGAACTATTTACAGGTCATTATGATTTCATTTTTATAAGGTTTATTTTAATCTATTTTTAAAAACCTTTCATTATCAGTATTAAAGCACCATGGCTTCTTGGTTTCGGGCTGACAGGCCATTGCTGTCCTGATTTCTGATGCATTTTAAGTATAAATCAGGTTACATGTTGCAAAAACATCATAAATAATTTGGTTTCCTGCTATAACTGTATCTTAAATCTCTCACATTCAGGTCACAGAAATTGTAAGAATTCATCCCTTCAGTATCTCAGTAGTGAAGTATTTCTGGCAATACCTTGAGAGAAATCCTCCTCTGATCTTTCCTATATGCTGTCTTTCCTATGTCTAGTCTTAAAATATAAAAGGAAATTTATTTTTAGTGTGACATATTTTGTTATAAGTTCCAATAACTGAATTTTTTAAAATAAAAATAATTCTAGGAGGGTGTCACATTGACAGGATGTTGTCAGAATCTGAAGAGAGCTCAGGTGGCTTCCATACCAATCGTGCTTGATCTTAATAACTATATGAAGAAAAATATGGTCAGATTTTTACATATTAACTTGTGTAGAAGAAAGAGCTCCTTTAAATAAAACTATTTCCTGAAATATTTAGAACTTCTTCTACAAAAGAATTTTGCTCATCCATTCTTCTGTGGAATTTGCTGGTGAACTGCTAAAAGTTGAGAAGAGGCAGGAAAATTCCCTCAGCTGGAGCAAGTTATATTACACTGAACTCGTGTCTGGATAGATTTCCTTTTAATAACATTAAGTAGGTGCTCCTTTGAGTATATAAAGATACTCTCTTGAGTATATTAATTCCTTCCTTCAACATCTGAAATACTAACAAACCAGAAAACTCTAATTTTTAATATACTTTCTATTACATTTTCCCGTAACTCTCTCCTTTTCCTGGATTTTGGTATTTTTCTAAGAAATAAAATAAAGCCAGTAAAACTTACTTGAGATAGCAGGGACTGTTGTGGTAGTGGGTGGAACTGTAGTTGTGGGTAGCTTTTTTGGTCTAAATTTATAGTGGCCAATAAAACCATCAGCCGTTAAGCTTAAATCAGACAAAAACTGAATGAGCAACTCATTTCTCTCAGACAGAATAGGCCTGAAATGGAAAAACAAAGTAAAATATTGCCACTGTTTTGAATGTCAAAGCCAAAAAGCATTAACAGCATTCCTCTTACCAAAAAAAAGAGTGCAGTTCACTGTAATTGTTGGTCTGAATGTGGTTTCTGCCCCCAGACCAATACGGAAATCCATGTTTCCTTGCTGGTATGTCACACACTGGTGTTCTGAGTGTGAAACTCATTCTGATGAATCACCTAAGCCTCAGATTCCTGAAGATTATATCGCTATGAGAATCTCTGGGTTCTTTTGTGTGACTGCATTGTAAACTCCATTCATGGAATGGAAGGGGCTAGATTTACCCTTATCAGTATCTTTTTGTAGAGCAGTTCACTACAAGAAGGGGGCCTGAAAATAAATGTCTTTACATATAAAGTTTCAAATCGGGGGGGGAGGGAATAAAAATTAAACAAAAGAAAATGTAACTCAAGAAGCCCAGGGTGGCTGAAGGAAACTGAAGTTAATGTATTTCAGGTGCAGCCCTAACCTTAATTAACTTCTTGTTGAAGTGCTAATAAAGTTCCATAGGCTTGCTCTGTTTCTAGCACTGCCATTCTACTGCGTAGCTGCTGCATGGAGAAAAAAGGAATCTTTACAAAGACTTTGTAAAAGCAGTCCTACAGAATGTCTGCCTCCCCTCTTGTCTCCTGAGGACATCCTACGTAACCTTAAAAACCCCAACCAGACAAAACCCACGGAAACCCCTCACAGTCAATCTCAGCCTAGCAAGCCATGCTTAGAGCGACTGAGGCATTTCCCCTCCCTGTACCAGTTGCTCCTGGGAATCAAGGTAGCTGCCACTCCTGAGGTGTAAATCTATTCACACACCTCCATGTGAGATTTTGTTTTAGATAGCTTGTATTTTTTGAAACAAAATTCATCCTCTTCATCTTAAGCTACTCAGCTTTAAGAAGCTTGACAGAAGAGGAACAATAGGAAAGGAGAGCTAAAAATTACTAGCCTCACCCAAATAACTTTACACTTTTTTTTTGGGAATAATGATGATTCACTATTGCTAGGCCTGATCATATAGTTACAGTGCCAGTGGATGGGTTAGGGGTGGGTTTTGGGGGTGGGAGGCTTGGAGAGATGTGTTGTTTTTTGGGGCATAGTTGAGTTGTGGGTTGTGGAGGGGTTCGGAAGCAGCAATTTGATAGCAAAGCTGGTGAAAGCCTGCTCTGCTGCTCAGGAAAGCAGGCGGTGCCACGAGAGAACGTGCCTCGGCATCTCTTGGCGCTCACCATCTCTTTCCCCTGTGCCAAGGCCCGTTCAGCGGACGGGAAGTGGCTGAGGGGGAAATGAGTCAGTGAGCAGCGAGCCAAGGGGCTAGAGAGTTCAGCTGGATCCTTGTACTTCGGTATCTATAACCTAAACATACCTATTAAGTGATGTTAGTGTTCAGCTGCCGTTAATATTGGTATTATACCAGTATCAACAGCATCAGCATTAGTATTGGTGTAATTAGACAGCCCTTTAATGAGGCTTGTGGGACTAAACAGAAAACAGGTTGGAGCCAGGTCTGGTTGTGGAGGGAGAGAGGAGATACTGAGCTACTCCTAGAAGCTCAATTGGAGGTAGAAAATGTCATAATTAATTTTAAAAAGAATAAAAATCTTCCAGAAGCCTAATGCAGAACTGATAGAAAAATGGCGCACAGTGGTGGTGAAGTTCATAATTCAAGGCCGTTACTTACGCTGGTGGACTGTCTCCGCAGTACTTCCCAATTCTTTTAGCGTCATTGATTTCCCCGCCATTAAACACTGCAACATAGTCGTATCTGCAGTAGTTGTCTCTCTCCACATCAAACTTCTCAAACTTTAACTCTATTAGCTGCAGGGAAAGTGTAAATAACTCATTAAGGTTTTGATATGCAGCATTTATCAGTGCTTCTTACAGTAAGTGATCTCTTCACATGAAGTACTAATTGGTTTTTCTTTCTGTAAAGTCCTTAATGCACTTAATTGTGAAGTATTTTAAACCACACAACTTCTCTCCGACAAATAGTTCAACATATGACTCTGAGAACAAAATGTTTTCTAGTATATTAAATATATGCAAGTAACTTCTGATAAATTTATTTTTACAAGTGAATCCAAACAGGATAGTAGGTGCTAGGTGTTTGTGTTGCTTTTAAAATAACCTCCCTGGGCAGCCCATTGCAATGCCTGATCACCCTCTCCATGACAAAGTGCTTTCTAACGTCCAGCCTAAACCTCCCCTGGCGCAGCTTCAGGCCATGCCCTCTCGTCTTGTCACCAGAAGAGCCCGACCCCCACCTGATACAACCTCCCTTCAGGTGCTTGTAGAGAGTGATAAGGTCCCCCCTGAGTCTCCTCTTCTCCAGGCTGAACAACCCCAGCTCCCTCAGCCTCTCATTACAAGACTTTCCCTCTGGTCCCTTCACCAGCCTCATTGCTCTCCTCTGGACCCGCTCCAGCACCTCAATATCCTTCTTGAAGTGAGGATACCCTTCTTGAAGTGAGTTTACTTGATGCAAAAATAGAAAGGTCAGAAACAAAAATATTGATAGAAAGAAAATTAGTAAATAGTAATACTAAACCCAAGAGAAAGTCAGTAGTTAAAGGAATTGTGTTTCCATACACAATTTCCATAAACGTTAGGGCCTTACGAGCCATAAGTGAGAACTCGTATAACTCTGGTATTTCTAGTACTGTGCTGTAATCGCCAATATGACTTGTATTTATGGACTTTTCTACTTAAGAAATAAAGAACAATGGAGAAGAGAACAGAAATGGAATTTACTGCTCTGAAATGAAGTCCTGCAGGATGACTCTGTCAGTTGTGTGCAGCCAGGGAGGAAAACACAACATAACCGCATGACAGAAAAAGAAGTGATATATGCATTCAGGTTGCTTCCTTATAGGCAGCACAACAATATTTAAATCACCTTCCCATAAATAGCACAGATGAGGTTTGAACGGCAGCACTGAATTGTGTTGACTGTAGACGTGCAGGATTTCTCTTTAAAGCTCCGTCTCAAAGAAAGATGATATTAAATGTTTTAAGACTGTACAAAGAAGAGGCGTCATTTGTACGTTGCATGCACTTTGATTCACTGACGTAGTAAAAACTACCTTGTTCTACATTCAGGGTCTTGATGTGATGTTCTGTTCTCACCTGATGTCTTAGTTTTGCCTGGATATGTTTTTGCGCTATTCAGATGTGTGAGGAATCACTTTTTTCCCCCATAAAGTATGAGTGACCTAGGGAGACTTGGTTTCAGAGATGAGTAACAGCCTTGCTTCGAAAACCTTGTTGTCATGATGAAAAAATGCACTTTAAATGGAAGTACCCATCTGAATAATACACTTGTAATCAAAAAAGATGGTCTAGAAAGAAGTAATACAACTGGGAGCAGAAATGCTGAATTTTTCCATAGCAGCCAAAACAGCAGGCCAAATATCTAATTTACTATTGTTCATAAGTGCACTTTGCACTAATAAAGAAGTATTTCATTATAGAATAGAAGCTCTTCACCGTCAGGAGGAGCTCCTTCATCTTCTGTAATAAATGAAGCAATTATTGGTTTGTGAAAGGGACAACAGCAGAAACAGCAGCACCTACAGTTTGGCAAATGGAAGAGTGAACAGCTTTCCACTTGGAGAGATGCTTATTCATTAATTCCTCAAATGTGGGGTTTTTATCACTGTCAAAATTCTGCCTCACTTGCATGAAAACAACCACTGTTGCAGTACATGAAAAATACACGTTTGGAAACTTGTAGATCTACGGAACAGGACCTTCATAAGGCACAGGATACAATGTCCTTATTTTTATGCTTATATAGCCTTTCTTAAATCTTCTCTACAAGCTTAGGAAAGGTTTTTAGGCTTATTTAGTGATATTTGGAAAGAACCAAAGTAATCTGCAGGTTACAGATAAGGTTTCAAAATCACTGCCTATCTATAGGATTGTTAAATGACCTGTGTCTAGCAAGGAATGTGGATTAAACAGGAGTATGGGAAAGACTAAGCTGACATACTGCTTCAGTTCAAGGGAGGAAATATCCTGGTAAATGGAAAAGTACGAAAGATCTGAAGAGTATGTTTATCGGGGGCAGATTTCTTTTTGTTTAGGGGATTACAGTCATGAGCAGAAGATTAAGAGGAAAGTGGTCTTTACATACAGAGGAATTTAGAAGGCTGGATGTGGTTAAGAAAAGCAACCCACCAAGCATGCTTGGTGCCCAAAGCATTCAATCATCATAGACTTCCTGCCAAGGTACAGAGCAGATGGCTCAGCAACAACCAGGAAATGCGAAGCTGGGATGGAGATCAGCCCTGCAGCGTAGGGAACACACGTGTGTGTGCCCCGTGCAGCAAACGAGCCCTCTTGGTTGGCTGTCACATCTTCAGGTCTTAATGAAGTGGTAACATATGTTCTGACGGCATCTGGCTAATTAAGCATGCATGTTATGGGATGGAGCCTTCAAAATACGAAACAACACAAACTTTATGAAATGTACATTGAATTTATTAAGAGCAGAAATTATTTTATTCTGCTGACAGTACAGGGGATATATTTGTATGTGTCCTGCACAGGGATTTTTCAATCAGCTTTGCCTGGGTACCTCAATAACAAGCTGCAGCAACACTGAAAATTCTACGGATGTTGTTAGACTTAAACCTAGCATTGGTCATCATCATGTTTGGTCTCGAGATGATCACCTGCCCTAACTTAATTTGTGTGATGTTTTGTTAATTAAAAAAGTCTTCCTCAAAGAAATCTGTATGAAAAGCCTCACCAGTCACAGATGCTTTAAAAAGTTTAATTTAGGGGACTGTACCATTGCACAGAAGAGGACGTACAATATAGAGAAAGCACAGGAGCTACTGGAGTGAGCCAGGTAATAGACGAGAGGAGGGCGGGTATTGCTGGAGCGTGGGTGTGCCTGCACTCCTTGCACATACCCAACTTCACATTTCAGCCAGGCAGCATTTTTATCGTTTCAGTGCAATGCAGGCAGCGTGTTGTGTGAGCAGGCTGGTGATGAGGTGTCAGTCCTTGCAGGCCACGGAAGCTGAGCCGTGCCAGTGGGGTGGTGGTAGCACCTTACCTGGTTCTTTGGGGCAACGATGTGCCAGGAGCAGGTGACTCCCGCTGGGTAATCTCGCTCTGGCCAGTTGGGTGTTTGGAAGGACCCTGACGGCTTCTCCAGTCGTCCCCCGCAGTACTGATCCCCTGCAAGTACAGCGCACCACGCTGAGCAGAGTGCGACGGGGATGTGGTCAACTCAAAAACGTGCTTATGTTACTGCAGGGGCAGCGAGAGAGGCAGGGCTGGTCCCAGTCACCCTTGCCACAGCCCCACTACAGGACATGGCTGAGCCCTTCAGCTCAGCTGGTGGCACCTCTGGGACAACCTAGGTAATAAAGTGCAGAAAATGCCAGATGAAGAGGAAGAGGGGGATGAAAAAAGAGTGAGGAACATTCCTGCAAACAGCAGGGTCAGAGGAGGAGGACCATAGGTGCTGAAGCAGCATCCCTGCAGCCCATGGGGGACCGCTCTGTGGAGAGCCTATGACAGAGAGGGGCTTTTTCCTCTGTATCTCCTTCTCTCAGTCCCAAATTACAAAGCTGTATCAGGTATGTAATCCTTATTTATAATATGATTATGAACCTTCTTTTTTAAATTAACTTTATCATGTCACAGTCATTTACTATATCTTTCAGGAAGTTACCAGTACAAGACTACAACTCGAAGAACTAATAAATTTACTCATCACCTGCACTTCACCTGCCCAACAACCTCTGGTATCATGGTAATAGTAAAAGCCTTGAAGAAGAGTCACTCAGCAGAGCAATGCCACCTCCCTGTAATCTGCCAGCCTCTTGCAGTTCATGGTCTTCCCAAGCACAAGGCAATGCCTTTATGTTTAATAATTAACAAATTTTTCTTTAACATGTTTTCTAATTGTTTTTAAACCGGTGTAGAAATTGATGATCCACAACGTCCCCTGGCACAGCACCCCACCACCTAACAGCTCACTGAGAAAAGTCACCCTCTCCTTTCCTTTGCAGCCACATAAAGTTGGGCTGTTCTCCCTTAATTTGCAGCATGTATCTGTATTGAATTTCATCTGCTGTTTTACTGACCAGCTATTACCATATCGTTACTGGGTGCAGTTATTCCACAACTTTTACAACTTTTAGCCCTCTGCTTTACAACTTTGGTTAACTGTGATGGCTACACAGTTATACTTTGCTATGTGCTATGCAAGATAATTAATGCATACGCTGAACAGCACAATCCCTAATATCTCTGGCATCACATCTTTTTAAGTATTATTGTGACTCTCCATTGAGTTGCACACATATATTTGTCTTCCGTACATGTGCAATTGTTAATTACCTCTTTCATGTGGTTCTGCTGCAGAAAACTTTGCAATGAATCCACTTCCAGCAGTATTGGCATCTGAAGTCATCTGCACCAACATTTTATTGCTGTTGGATACAAGGGCACCTGGTTTCATAGTGCCACAGAACCGGCCAATGCGTTGTCCGTTGGCATGGCCGTTGTACACGTCCACAAAGTCATATCGGCACAAGTTGTCACTTTCCAGGTCTAAATATCTGAAAGAAAGAACCACCACTTTTCCTTCTGGGACCTGCAGAGAGAGAGGAAGGGAGAGAGAGATATGTCTTGAAATGTGACTGATACCACCTATCCACCTGATCCCACTATTTGCACGGGTATTCTCATATCCTTCACTTCTCGCCAGGTAAGCTCTTTCTGCCAATTATACTCAACGCAGAGTGGGTTTTAAAATTACGTCAGACCAATCACAAAAACAAAGCTCTGGCCATCTCTGTTGCCATTATTGCTCATACAGTGGATCATACACCACCACCACCCAGCTGGGCTTGGCACGTTTCTCTTGTCTTCTGCTGCAAGGCTGCAATGAGCCAGGCAGCTCCCTACCACCAGGTAAGGTGAGGAGGATGAGATTAATACGATTTATTAAAAATATGGCACGAGCAATTTACAATTTCGAGCAAATGAAATGGCGTCTCTTCTCCTGCTTATTTGTGCAATAAGGTTTCATAGTTTGAAGGATTCTTTTTATTTACTGACACAACTTACATTTATAAATACAATTGGAAACTTCATGGCTAACGCTGTACAACACTAATATTTAGCTACTGGAGTGCATTTAGCTTGAAGGCTGCAGTGAAAGAATTATATTTGGCAAGAATATGTAAAACTATAAACAGAGAGTTTGAAAGAACCATTAGTGGATGTCCTCAATACAGAAAAGAGTTTTGTGTTCTGAAACATCTGAGGAAACATAAGACAGGGCAGATCTTCTTATATGTCTGCATCCGTGGACATCGTGAAAGAGGCCAGAGTATTCAGGAGGATGTAAATTAAAAGAGCATAATACTTTACAAGCAGGAGAACATTTCCTGAGATAGAGTTGCAAGCTTTTAAGAGAATAAGCAGCATACTAAGAGGTGAAAACTATTCTAACAAAGCACTCAATGCTATGTAACAGGACAGGAAGAAAGGAAACACCATTTTCAAGTGTAGAGGGACCTTGGACAGGCAGAGGGTAATTATCTGCATTCAATTCATAGCCCAGGAGAGTGGTTACCTATTAAAATCATAGCAGCTGTTCTATTTTACTGAGACACTGCTATTATTTTCTGCTTTAAATATGTAACGCACACTTAATATATCTGCAGTAAGTCCATATTTTAGCCACTTCATTTAAGAGTTCATGAAATTTTTCCTTCCTTAACAGTGACTCATTTTCAAACACCAGTTTGAGATGAACTACAGCTAAACTGTTCAAACATGAAACTGTCAAACAGTGAATTCTGTATCAGCAGTTACAAATGCCGTGTCAAGTATAGATGGAAGTGGCCATTTAACCCACAGAACACACCAATACAGGCAGCAGCTCTAGATGTAGTGGGAATATGTGCTGTAGATACGTTATGGTATTCATTCATGTGGCTGCTTTTATGTTCAGTGCTGATAACGATCCTGCAACAGCACTGACCTCTGCATGAGCTGTTTTCAGCTGCCCAGGGCCCACGTATGCACACTGGCCAGCCCCGCTGCAGTGCCTGCTGCTGGTTTCAGAGTATTTTCCTTTAATCTTTGTTCAAAGTTCTCTCAAAAATGCACTGCGTTCCCCTGTGCTGACACACATCACCACCACCACCACTACTACATCTAAACCACAGAACTCATCTAATCTTACCCAGAAATTCCAAAGCACAATGACTGCGTTTTAGAAAACTTGAAAACCAGATGTTCGGTTTAAAACTCGTACTGCTGAAGTGAGCAGCTATAAACTGGTATCAGAAAATAACCCAGATGTGTATTCAGCCAGCATGAGGCCAATGCAGCCACAGGGTCATACTGTAAGATATTCTGTGAGAGCAATGTGACTCCTTGATTCACTGCTCTCGTAACTAAATCTCTGATAATTGCATTCACTTGTCCTCTGGTCTGAATCACTACGAAGTATTAAGACATGGTCATTTTAACATAAAAAGAGCTAAAGTAAATTTGGTATTCCTGTTGAAAGATCTGAATGTTATTCATGGTTATACTATAACCTCTATGTGACCAGACAAATCAGTTTAAAAATGCTGGCTATAAAGTTAGTCAGATAAAGTCAGATTTAGGCAGTTAAAGTAGCTTCCCCCCCACTCCCCAGAAGCATGTATGTAAAATAACATATGTTCTTTTAGGGTGGAACACTCATTATTCTTAAGTTTTGTACAACTGGTACAACAGGATCCAAATGAGGTGACCTTTAAAGGTTATAATGTTATAACACAGACTGAGCTGCTCTGCCTACAGTTAAGATTGTCCAAAGTTTTCTGCTACAAAACATGGTTTACAGTGTCTTCCAGCTTTGCTGAAACTTACCCATCTTTAAGATGTTTCCCCTTTTCCTTCCACTGTTTCTCAAAGTTGAGCAGAAGTTGCTCCATCATATTAGATTAAATAGTTTTGTCAGTGCTGATGAGATTTCCCCCCCCTACTTTCTCAGCTTGAATTGCTGCTTTGAAGACTCCCTCCCTGAGTTTAAAGGGGGAAGCTAAAATGTGAGAGGTGGCTGGTTCTGGGGTAAGAAAAGGGCTTTTTGCTGTCCTTGTATTCAGATTTAGCCAAGTGGTTGTCCCTCAGTAACGCTGACGGGTGCTCACTGACAGCTTTGCTCACCCCAGCCTCACAGCACTCAGTCCCACCCCTGGGTTTTGCACTCCCTTGCTGCCCCAAGCAGGGCACAGGGAACCAGTGCATGCTCGGGTGGGAGAGGACGCTGGCAAAGCAGCCAACTCCAAATTGCCAGCCAACCAAGTCTCGAGGTTTCCATTTCATACTGCAAGTAATTCTGCACAGCGTTGTCCGCTTCCTTCTCTCTCCACCACTATGCTCTACAATACGACATTCCGTTATCTAATTGTACTCCAATACAGTTTTTAATCTCTCTAGCTCCTATTAGTTCAGTCTACTTGATGGTTGTCAACACTGTTCCCCATAGATGTACTGAGTTTCTAAGTTTTGTTTTATGACAGTTTGTAAGAAAATGCATAGGGGAAACTCAGCCATGTGGTCACGAATCCTTAACAAGGAGCCTACTCCAGACTTCAGTTGTGAGAATAATCCTTGCTCACATTTAGCTGAATCTGGGGAGAGAAGTAATTTACAGAAATGTGTGAACAGTGTCCCTTGAATCACTGCCATCACTTTATAAAATAATGTCATTGCTTATTAAAGTAGTATTTGTCATTATTCACAAAAATAACATTTTTTCCCAGCATGTTAAACCAACCAGAAGTTTGTGGTCTGACCAGATGACACTGAAGAGTGCAGAGGATGGTGGTTCCACATTCTGGCAGCAACCGCTCCAGTGTGCAGCTACTCCCAAGGAATCCCACCCTAAATGCAGGCATCTTTGCAAAACAATACTTTTCTTTCATTTCTACCATTTCTCTTTAGTATCTGTGTTAATGTCTGCCAATGTTTATCCTAGGACATTTAAAACATTGCTCCATGAGAAACACAGGGGAGAAAGCAAAGGCCAGCATGACTCAGTTTTATTTACTTTGAGTCACGTCCGAGCCTGATGCAGTAAGATGATGGGATACCTCAGTGGAAGAATTGGAAGGAACTGCAGTTTGTAAGGAAAAAAAAAAAAAGGGGAGGGAGGAGGCAAAGGAAGAATATGAGATGCTTCCCCTGCAGGGTGTGCCTTATTTTTCTGTTTTACCCATCCAGCTGGTATCTTTCAACAACAGAGGCACTCTAGATTCTGTCTGTCCTTGTCGCACTGAGGGTGACTGATCCATACTTGCCCTCTGCTTCCTTCTTATTTTAACTCTGTGAACTTCTTTAGGATCAGGAATTATGATGCTACACTAATCTGAGGTATGCCTTGCTCCTCTAGAAGTTTAAAGGAAAATAGCACTTCCTGCATTTTTAGGGGGAGTTGTTCTAGAGCATAATTCCCTGAAGTCCCCTGTGTAGGTTATTAACCTCTTCAAAAGGGCATGATTATTTTTGTACATACAACCCACCACAAAATAAGGTCCCTAGTTTTTGTTACCATTCACTGCAGGTATTTCATATAATGTTAATCAGAGTTCACTTAAAGTAGTTAAGCTGTTTTTCTGTTGTAGTTCAGACTTGAACACAAAGTCCTCTTCATTATTGTGCCTCTCTCAGTGTCTGGGGAGGATTCCCAAACTTTTGCACACTTTTCAGAATTACTTGGTTTAGGTTGGTTCCTTCAAAAGTAATCTTTTGGTGCGGAAAAACTCTTAAGTGCCAACTTGCTGAGAATATATTTTGCCTAGTTTTTAAACCTATATTGTATATGGGTTTAATGTGTTTTTACAAGTTCATTACCAAAATGCTGATTATATGTTTTGCCATAGCAGTCCTAGGTAGACTTGAAAAATACATTGGCCACCTGCAAGCCAAATATATTTCTCTCTACTGAGCATGACTGTGAAAGTTATTTGGAGTTACACCCTGGGAAGAACCACAGCTCCTGCCTCATCACTGGTTCCCTGCTCCATCCTCTCCAGCCACAAAGGGAACATTTCTTTTTTAAATTGTATTACCTTGCTCTTCCTGACAAAGGCACTGGATTCTGTTCTGCTATTTCTTTTCTGGCGACACAGCCACGTGTAAAGATCTGTTCTCTGCTGGAAAGGGCAGTTTCACAATGATATGGGGAAACTAATGTTTAAAATGTAGACAAAATGATTTAAAATATTTCACTCCCCAAGGGCAGATTCCCAACTCCCCTGATAAGTAAACTTTTCAAACCTTGATTACTGTCAGCCAGCCTGCTGGAACACAGCTCCTGAACCTATAAAACTATAACCTCACATAACTCTGACAGTCCTCAGTATTATTGTTGCACATAAATTGTTAGAGTGTTTTGGGAACTACAGAGTCTGCCAGAAAAACGCAGGACCGCGGTCCAGATTCTTGGACTATGTGACACATTTATGTGAGGTGATGGCCAAGAAGGCTTACTGAGTATTAAAAGTAAATGTACATGACATATTTTAGATAAAGCTATATACATTACTATAGGAAAGGAAATAGCTGTACAAATGACTTAGCAAAGCCAGCTAAAAGCTGCTGGGTAGTCTGCCAAGGTTGTAATATAACCGCAAGCATGTGCTGAACACTTCTTAGAGCTCTTAGAATAGAGAAGCTGTTTTCTTTAGCCAGCTGAAAAAGTCCCAGTCTCTTGAAATAACAGAACCATAACTGAGTTAGAGAGACTCTTCCAGCTTTAGCAAACCAGTTGGAAACATTTCAGCTGATACCTGAATGCTACATTGCTTTATCTGTGTTACCCATAACATTTTATACACCTATTTTCTTCTACAGAATGAATCAGCTGTCACTCTGCCTCTCTGTGCATTTCCTCTGTAGATGATGGGATTCTGTAGTTGAGAAAAAAAGCTTTGTGCTTCTCGTGACCCAGACACGAAGTGAATCAATGCCTCTTCCAGTCTTGCAGACTTGTCAGATCCTGCATTGGGCAGTGTTTTCAGGAAGGTGTTCACAGTCCTTGGCTAAAACGGACAGGCAAAAACTCATTGTCACCTTCTAAGATCAGATGCTAAATGAGGAAGCCTAACAGTAACTACAGCATATTTCTTCATGGCTACAATTGTGCAGCCCTCCTCTGGCTTTGGGCAAGCTACAGAGAAAAGGAATGCAGCAGTCAAAGAAGAGGAGTAAACGGCAGCACAGCAGAGAAGCAGGAGCGAGGATGATCAGGAAATGCCAGAAGCCATCAGGTTCCTCTCATGGTCAACAAAGCCTGAGTGAAGACACAGCTCTGCTGCAGCTTTGTGGTAATGCTTGTGGTAAGTCTCACAGTACCCAGGCTAACCTGGACGCTCACGTCTTGTTGCCAACAGCAACAGTGCCATGAAACCACTCTGTATGGGCTCTTTAAAGACAATCAATTGTTCTCCCTCCACTCCCAATATACGATGAAGGGCAGATCCAGGGGATGCTTCAGTAAATGCTTCTTCAGTGCTGCCTCCATTTGTAATCTGAATTTTTTAATGGAAAAAACCTTTATGCTGTTATAATCAAAATCATCATTTCCCTCCACATTCAATTTTGAACTTTTGAAGATCTAACACTGAGTTATATTGTAAACTAACTTTAGAGGGGTTTTTTTTTTCCCTTTTAAGGCCTGTGTATATGATTCCAAATGCAATTTGAATCTGTTCTTCACATTGTAAGGTGGACCACGCTAATTGCTGTAATCTCAGTTCCTGGACAGCAGGAAGCAAGTTTGTGTATGAGCATACACTGTATTTTGCATCATACTCTTCTGGATAAAGTCAGCCACAGATTAAAGGTAACCTCTCACTTGGCCCTAATAATAACAACGTAACACAAAGGTGCAGAAAGAAACTGTTGCAGCTTCGCTGGTATCCTTCAGATAAAATGATTAAAATTAGAAAAACCCACTTGTTTGGTACGAGAGTCATTTTAACCAAACACTGTAAACAGATCAATGTCTCCTGCTTTGCGTCAGCATCTCTACAGTAGCAGGAGACCATTTTCCTGTGAGATCCTATTCTACTGCCAACTCCCAGCCTGTAACGCAGTCTGTGAGCTGAAGTTGGCTTTAGTGTCAACACACAGACTATTCTTTTTTTTATGCTTTCTTATACTATTTTTTCTCTGTAAAGCCTATATTCTAGGCCTGAATGTCACAGGAGTTCTTATTGAACTGTGCCTAAAAAATGGAGAGGAATTGTGGTGGGCAGTTTTGAAGGGCTTAATTTGTGCAGATGTGAGGAAAAGTAACCATTGATTCCAATCCCTTTCTCTGAGTCTGTGGATAAGGACACATCCAGCACTGGAGTGCTTAGTCCTAGCTGTTTAATGGCATTTGCTGTCCATGGATGCAATATTTCTGCCCTACAGTCTCATTTCAGCGTCAAAATATCAATTGTACCACATGCTTTCATATGGCCACTTATCGACGTAACAACGCTTTCCTGTGCCTTGTCAGCTTGCTGTATGACACAGGCCAGATGTCCTGGCTTCCAGAACACTCTTATTAGCACACTACAAGCAAACCTGCCTGAATTTTTTGGATTTTGATTGAAACATTTTCTGTATCTTCCTTGCCAACAAATTTTGCTTTTCATTATCTACACCTCAAAGCTCCACTTTAATCCATTTGACCTAACTAGATATTGCTTTCCGCAGTGACTGGAAGGGTATATGTTTGCTTTCAAGTGGGCTTATTTAAAACAATTAGAGGTGGTCAATGAAAATTTGCTTCTGACATTAGGCAAGGTCAGTTCTATTTCAGCCACTGTTATCATATTACAGCAACCCTAAAAAGCTGCAGATAGTTGAGCTGCTTTGAGTTATTGAGTTCATTACTGCACATGTTATCCCATATAAAACACTGGCATTAACAACAAATAGCTCTTCATTGTCTTCAGCGCTGATTTTTGTGATATTAAAAATTCTTACTGTGATTTTCCAAGTACATTTGCTGTTTGGAGGGTAGACTCCAGGAAATCCTTCACTCCCAATAAACCCTGACTCTCCAGATACAACTCCTCCACATGCAAATGTAGGCCTGAGAATAATAGGAAAAATAGTGCTTAATTTTAAAATATATTTCATTTATTCTTTGTATAATAGTAAAGAGGCACAGATTGTCTTAAAACACAGCTTAAATACTGAAAAAGTTGCTAACTTTAAACACGTTTCATCACTCACATAATTTCATTATTGACATATGACGCGCAATTTAACATGCAGACTGAGGTGTAGAGCAAACGAACCACTTGGACCTTAATTCTGGGTTTACAGAGCATTATCCTTCCCTCCATTTTTAATTCCTAAGGTGGAAGGTATGGTGGTGTGATACAGCATTGCAAATTGCTATTAAAATGAAAAAAATAATAAAAAGTCATTAGTGGTGACTTTTTATAGTATATATAGTAGTAGCAAAAATAGCACAGCAATAAAAATAACTTTTAATTCCTATTTATTCCACCCTGAAATGCTTTGAATTTAGGCATTTTAATCAAGTCAGTCACTAAGGAAGTTTTCTATTCCACAGGAACAGAATCCACCATGTGCGCAAGTCCTGCTACTCCAGCCTGGTGGTGAACCGTACGGCCCGATTTTGCAAGTGTGAGGACGCGCTGGGCTAAAAAGGTCAGGTATCTGCTCCTGGCTCCAGCTGCCCTGGGCCACACTGCGGGGAGCCCAGAAAAACCCCTGCTCAGAACCGCAGTGTTACTGCTGAGGACACCAGGGTGAGCAAACGCCCGCTGAGCTTTAGGTATTGGGATTTATATTATATTATATTATATTA